CTCCTCACCCTGGGCCTTTCAAGCCCTTTTTTCCTCGCAACTCTTCTCCTCTTCTGTCTTCTGTGGCAGCCTCCCGTCTCTTGGACTGGAATATCTTGGCTAGAAATCATGAGAGCCCCTATACTGCCAGTCTTCTTCTCTAGGCTGACAAATGCCAGTTCGATCACACAGGAATCTTCAGTTCACGCTTGCAAATACAGGAGATGTGGGCCTGGATTTACAGTCACGATCGCATCCAAACTCAGGACAGAGAACAATTGGGCACTTGCGGCAATTATGTCAAATAACTGGTCCAGTTGCTTGCTAAAGCTGTCCCTAACTGTAAAAGTTTTCCTCTCCCAAGAGAGATATTCTTGGTTTCTCCTCTTTAACTGGCTGCGCCCTCACTAATCTTCTTCTGACGGATATGACTGGAGGCTTGAACTGAGCCAAGAATAGAGGTAATTGTGCCAAGACAGCTTTTAATACATCACTGGCAATGTCTTTGTTTGTGTAAGTTCTTTGTCTATTTTCACTGATTTGCCTGATTAAAACACCGTATCTCAAAGCATCTCTCAATGTAGGCAACTCCGACTTCAGGAGCTCTCTCCCACCCAAGATAGTGACTGAGATGGCTGGATTTTTGGTTCCTCGTCCTGACACAAGCAGCCATCGCAAATATTATCAACTTATAAATGCATCAGAATCTGAAACAGAAAAAATATTGTTAGTTGGGTTGTTAAAGAATGAAGTCAGAAAGCAATGTTCACTATTAAATTGTAATGCACTAATGCAGCTGTACGTTAGATTTTCGATAAATTTCACGCTAAAATTTACCTAGCAAAAGGTTGCAAAATATTGAAACTGAAATTATTTTCTGTTTATATACACTAAAATCTACCAAAAAAGTGATGGGCCATTAGTTTTAGCCGATCTTCCCTCCTATGACACACCCTACTGTGCAATATTGACTAAATTCGTAAGATAACGTACGCCTGGCAGCACAATCTATAAGAATACGCGATGCATACGTGACTGTGCCCGCTCTAGGGCCATTTAGGTTCGCTACGTCCCATTATTTGAATGTTTTTTTTTTCAATTTAAATTTTAATTGTTTATTCCTTAACACCAGAAGCAACTGGCCAGTGTCACAAGTATATACAGTACAGACCAATCATCCCTTGGTTAACGCGCCTACTTGGGACCCCGCCGAGTGCGTGATAAAAAAAAACGCGATAACGAAAATACAGAACCTATGGGATTTATTCTAATTGGTTCCAGGCACCCAAGACCCAACCCCAAGTTTCCCATTTTACGACCATTTAGACCCCCTAAATATATAATGTTATGGTAAATATCATAAACACACATAGGCATGGCTAGGTTTATTACAAAGTGATGAAAAGGGTACCTCAATACTGTAGTCCACTAAACATGTAGCTATGCTTTATTTATTTGGTCCCCCATCATACGAGTCCGTTTTCTCTCACATCAGGATGCCTGAGTCCTCCGTTTTCTCTCTTAATCTTAGAGTGCAGGAGAGACTTCGCTATCCCCTAGTAATGACACAGAATTTGAAATTGCAACCCGAATTGCAACTGGGGTTGCAATTGTTGAGGCAACTATATACAGTGGGGTATGCTATAACGAACGGATCCTACTACGAATATTCCTATAACGAACGGTTTTACCTATAAAATTGAGAATGCTACAACGAACGCAACTCCTACAACGAACGCGGATGAATACGGGACTATTTCGCCTGGCGCATGAATATTGTTGTACCGCGACCCACAACAAGAGCGTCAGGCTCCATCTTTGTCTCATTGTGTAGCCAGTGCACCACTGTTATTGTTGAAATTTCGTCTTTTGATGTGGAAATAGAGTTATTTGTATAAATATTTTGTTATACAAGTGTACAATTGTGACAATGAATCGCCCAAAGCGAGTGAGAAAGCTCATAACTCTTGAAACTAAGAAAGAAATCATAAAGAAACGTGAGGATGGAACAAGCATTGCAAAACTTAGTGATGAGTATGGGATGGCTAAATCGACTATATGTACGATTTTAAAGAATAAAGAGGAGTTGAAAACTGTGCAAGTGGCTAAGGGAATCTCTAGACTTAGCAAAGCAAGGTGTAATGTGATTGAGGAGACGGAAAATTTACTCTTAGTGTGGATAAAGGAGAAAGAAATGGCAGGTGATAGCATTAGTGAAGCTATAATTTGTGAGAAGGCCAGACAATTGTTTGAGGACCTTAAAGCCAAGACTCCCAGTGCAAGTGATAGTGATGTGCCAGTGTTTAGGGGTACCAAGGGGTGGTTTACTGGTTTCAGAAGGAGAAATAAATTACATAGTGTTGTGAGACATGGTGATGCTGCTAGTGCAGATAAGGAAGCAGCTAAGGAACACCATGATATTTTTTTGAATGTTATTAAAGGGGAAGGCTTTGTTTCTCAGCAGGTATTCAACTGTGATGAAACTGGACTTTTTTTGGAAAAAAATGCCTCGCTGTATATACATTACCAAGGAGGAAACTTCTGTCCCTGGCCATAAGCCAATGAAAGACAGGCTTACCCTCCTTCTTTGTGCTAATGCTTCTGGTGACTGCAAAATAAAGCCACTCCTTGTGTACCATGCAGAAAACCCCAGAGCTTTCAAAAACATTAGGAAGACCCGCCTTGGTGTTATGTGGCGGTCAAACCCAAAGGCTTGGGTGACCAGGAATTTATTCTCTGAGTGGGTGATTGAGGTGTTTGGACCCAGTGTTCGGGAATACCTCAGGGAGAATAATCTTCCACTGAAAGCTTTGTTGGTGATGGACAATGCACCAGCCCACCCTCCTAATTTGATGGTTGAATTGCCAGAGGAGTTCAACTTCATCACTGTGCACTTCTTGCCACCCAACACAACACCTCTCATCCAGCCCATGGATCAACAGGTAATTTCTAACTTTAAGAAGCTGTACACAAAGGCACTGTTTAGAAAATGATTTGCGTCCACTTCTTCCAGTGATGTTAGCTTGAAGGAATTTTGGAAGTCACTTCAATATAGCAGATGCTGTTTTTTTAATTACCTCAGCCTGGAAAGAGGTTACTGTGAGGTGTCTTTGTGCTACTTGGAGGCCATTGTGGCCAGAATGTGTCCTTCAAAGAGACTTTGAAGGCTTTGAAGAGTTAGAAGAGGCTGTTGTTCATGAAATTGTGTCTCTGAGCAATTCCATGGGCCTGGAAGTGGATGATGATGATGTTGAGGAGTTGGTGGAAGAGCACAGTAAGGAACTGTCCACTGAGGAGCTGCTTGAGCTTCACAAAGAACAAAACGAGACACTGAAGCGGAGCTTAACTTCTGAGGAGTCAGGGGAGGATGAGGACAAGGAGGAAAGCCGCATCATTCCAGCCAAAGATCTCAAGGATGCGTTCTTTTGCTGGAGCAAACTGTCCAAACTTGCTGAGGATTATCATCCTGATGTTGGCTCTGTGCAAAAGGCCATCAGTGTGTTTAATGATAATGTTATGAACTACTTTTGGAAGGTCCAGAAATCAAGGTTGAAGCAGCCAACCCTGGATTCCTTCTTTACAAAGGTAACAAAAGACCCTACAGACAAAGTGCCTGTGAGACAGTCACCAAAGAGGGCTAGGAAGGATGACTCCTCTCCTTCCACCTCTTCTCCATAATTCTCTCCTCCCCACTCCCCCTCTGCCTTCTGTCCTGCATGCTGAACAACACTAAGGTAAGATAAAGTACCGTATGTTTTACATTTTCCACAGAATTTTTTCAGTTTTAAGTGGTTGTATTTGGGGGCCTGGAACGGATTAATCCTATAACGAACGAATGCTATAACGAACGAGGTTCTAGAACCAATTAGATTCGTTATAGCATACCCCACTGTATGTCTGATTACAGCAAATGTGTTATTGTCAATTTGTAGGTGAAAGATTTTATGCTCTATAGATGTAGGTTAACATTACACCTGGAGGCAAATGCTTAAAAAAAGCCTAAGGAAGGAAGCATATTCCTTTAACATATAATTATCTGACCAGTATGGGGAGGATCATCGTGTCTCCGTCAGGGGGTCGTGGAGTGGTGGTCCAGCAGGCGTCACGGAAGTTTTTTTCTTTCGGGGGGGGGAGGGGGGGCCACGGATGTATATGCGATCGGACGTTGTTCGGTCGGACATTAACCGACGGATGACTGTATAAATAATATAAATTAACATAAGATAAGAATCTCTATTATGAATACTGTACAGTATTTATATATTTTTTATTTAATTCATTAAAATCATATGTAAATTAAATACTGTATACAGTACAGGGGATCCCCCGGTTATGAACAGGTACCGTTCCCGAGGACGTTCTTAAGTCGGAAATGTAAGTGAGTCAGAACACATGCTGTGTGCCTACCATACTAATAGATTAATGTTTAAAATCTCATTACAGTAATATCTCCGTTAGCCGGAATCCCTCAAACCTGGAACTCTCCAATAGCTGGAATTTAAATTTTCCGAGGGGCACATTTTCCGGAAAATTCTGAGATGAGGGATTTTTTCCTGGGTTCGAGAGATGATGTAATGGACAATTTCTGGAACTTTGGGAACATTTTTCCATTACCCGGAAAATTCCGGGGATGAGGGATTCTTTTTTCCGGCTTTAAGAGAGTCGTCTCGTTACCCGGAAATCTCTCATTCCAGGAAGTGCTCTGCACCAATTGTTCCTGCTAACAGAGATATAACTGTATATCATAGTCCAAGTCTTTATATACAACTAAAATCACTTAATTTAAGAGAAAAGAAGAAATAGAATGTCAAAATACAGTAATTAAAAGTAAAAAATAAGTCATTAGGTAAATAAATTATTGTACAGTAAATTTAAAGTTTAACCTCGTTCGTAAGTCGGGGACCCCCTGTACTGTATATTGGTTTGACTAAGTGTACTGTATATATATACTCTCCATAAATCAAACTTATATACAGTACAGCTGTACATGTAAAATGTGGTTAAAATAATACCCAATAATATAGACAGTAATTATTTTATTGAATTAATGTACATAGCTCTATTACATATGCAATAGCTAAGTACATACAACAATTCATTACATGATTGGTTTATATACATTAGTCCCTTAGTAATGGCTTTCCAATGGCCATTTGTCACAAAATCCCTTATATATGACCATTTTCTGCCTTTACAGCTGTCTATATTGCCTTTGACCATTATTATTATTTTTCAAACCAACAATGAAGTACTGTACTTGTGGGCCGGCTCTCTCCCTAGCTGTTAAAAACACCTGAAACATTCGCTGTTAAGTAAATTAAAACACCTAACACATTCTAAAGGGTTATTAGACATCTCTGTGGCCATAATGTCCTATGGTTATGTGATGAGAGGGCCATTAATCCCTCCACAAATATGGTATCCATGAAATGGTTTATTGACAGATAAGGCCATTATTATCTATTTAAATCATAAATAAACTTAATCATCCATTTCAACTTATCTGAGCCATTAAAGAAATGGCTATCTATGACTGCAGGTGTCCAGTAGCTTCCCTATAGCTTCTCAACCCTTTAAATAGCCAATGGCAGAGGACGCATCATTCTGTTAATAGTTAACTTACTCTTTCATTTCAAATTATTCAGGTTTCAGGTAATTTCAGATGATCCAACATTACAAGGTACCACACAGTGGCCAACAAATATGTGTGTGACTACAGATGACCTGTAACACTATAACTTTTTAGCTTTCCGGGGTCGAGGAGAATCCGTCATCGGTATGGCTGTGCTGTCTGTTATCGAGATGATGTTAAGCCCTCCCATAGTTAAGCCTTTCACCGCAGACTGCAAATGGAAAAAAAAAGGACATTTATAAATAAACTACAAAGTCATTCATTGATAAACAATTTATTTTATTTAGCCGAGGCTCAAGTTTTAACAGCAAAACTGCACAGTAATTTGTTTCTATTCCTAGCTAAAATTGGGCCAATTTAAACTTTTGCTTTAACATTAATGTTTAAATAAGACCTTTGCACTGGTAAATCATAAAGCCTTTCTATCAATATAGTAAACCAAATAAACAAAAAACAAAGAATTTTGCTTAACTCGTAACTGGTCATATTCGTAAATCATCCTTAAGTGGCCTTCTCTGAGTAGTCTATAACTTAGATATATGAGTTTTACTTTTTAAAATACCTGTAATGTCTGAAATGGCACAGAATGATCAATATATTTAAAATATGAAAATGGCAACCTCTCAAAGACACATCAGCCTAGAAACTTCTGTCCCTCCAAAATGCTCTTCTAAGTCACATGATGTTATTAGGAAGGTGTGATTGGGAGACGGGGAGTGAAGCGAAGCAGTCGTGATGGGAAGCGCAAGGTTTTGTTTAGTAACCCTGCCACCACTATATCCACACACACACCCCAGCCACTCTCTCCTCACCACTTACCAAGTTTGTTGCCCTCAACACAGGCTAAGAAATATGCCCAGTGACCTTGTCACGTATGCAAGATCACAATGTTACATGAAAAAGGGCACAAAGACTAGTGTTTCTGCACACTTTTTTCATGTAATGGTGTTTTAACCTCGCTATTTGCAACCCTGATTATCCACAATTAATATTTAACACCCCTACCGTATATCTCGGCTTATAAGACGGAATTTGAACATTAAAAAAATCTGCCCAAAGTTAGGGGGTCGTCTAAACCACCAAGTATAAAATTCTTACCTCTTAAATATTGTGGTTTAGTGTGTCAAGAGTGGTGATGGAAACATCGTAAGCCACTCACAAGGTCTTACCACTAATTATTTTATACTGAAACTTACGTTTGGCAAGCTGGATTCAAATTAAGATTACCGGTATATTAAAATAATAAAAATGTATTATAAACCTGTCTAACATACCGTAAAAGAGAATTATACCCCTGTAATAAACACAGCTATCATCACACACCCCTCCCCACGCCCCCCCCATTTGCCAGTGAGGAGACAAGAAAGGAAAAGTGACCGCGAGATTGGGCTATTTTTAGCCGTGGAGGTGGTCAGTAATGCATATCGGTATATTTACTGATAATAATACTTCTCCTATAAATAATTAATTTAAAATTTATTTTTTTACAAGGAATATTCAGTAAATGACTGCATTAATTCTTGAAACTACTGACAGTTAAATACAGACGCTTAAGTGACGTCACTAGTGTTTACACTACACCAGCTGGTAACATTTGATGCCATTACTTGAAGTGAATTGGCCTTATTTTAAGTAACTAACCATAAATAAATACAAAAAGTAAAAAAAAGATCAAAAGTGAGAAATAATATACTGTATGTATGTTGTGTTGTCAAAGTTAGAGGAACAATTCAAACTGCAATTGTGTGTAAATGAGGCAGAAAGTCAGGTCAGCGCTGAACCTGGAGACTTGGTCACAATTTTCGTGATGCCATATGGCAGCAGGGTCTACCATTAGACAACACATTATGCTTCCAATATCTCTCTCTACTCTGTACTCACCCCTGAAGATGTGAATTACACGAAAGCGCTTGGGAACTTCGTGTTTTCTTCTTTCCTTGTGGTTATCAGCATATACCTAGATCACGCGCACCTACAGTGATTTACTTATATATATATATATATATATATATATATATATATATATATATATATATATATATATATATATATATATATATATATATATATATATATATATATATATATATATATATATATATATATATATATATATATATATATATATACAGTATTACCCGCTAACGGTTTTCATAACGCGTTTATCATATCTGTGATTGCCTTGAACTGAACTTTCATAACGGATTTTTCCACATATACGCGTGAGTGTCGTACAGGCTTCTTTTAGATTCGCCACCTGCCTGACTGCCTGTTTTAGCTCATAAAATTCATACAAATTACCCGCAGAATATAATTTACATTGCCAGAATTCTTATAATTTGGTGATCATTTTGAATATAAACATCATATATTTTGCATTAAACATACAATTTTAGATAAAATTTTTTATCTAGGTAACTATGTTATCTTTTGGGCAATATATGACATTTATATTCAAAATATTCCTAGTCTTCACAAGGAATCAGCAATGTCAATTATATTATCTAACTTTAGTTTGGTATTATTTATTAAAATTTAGTGGTTATCACATCTCCTTGGGACGGTTGGTGGGGGAGGGAGGAACAACCGACCATCTATTACCCGTGAAATTTTTTTTTTATTAACTGAAGATATTTGTTTTAGCTCATAAAAATTCATACAAATTACCGGTCAGAATATAATTTACATTGCTGGAATTCTTATAATTTGGTGATCATTTTGAATATAAACATCATATATTTTTGCATTAAACATACAATTTTTAGATAACAAATTTTTCTCAAAGGTAACTATGTTATCTTTTGTGCAAAATATATGACATTTATATTCAAAATATTCCCTGTCTTACAAGGAATCCAGCAATGTCAATTATATTATCTAACTTTTTAATCTGAGGTATTATTTAATACTAAATGTTAAAAACTCTGGAAGGAGGATTGGTGGGGGGTGGGGGAGGTTGGGACTGCGCAGTTGGAAGGGTGGGAGGCAAGGTGGGAGTACTTTGATTGACAGAAGTGTTGTGAAGATTATTTTTTTTTATTAACTGAAGATATTTGTTTTAGCTCATAAAATTCATACAAATTACCGGTCAGAATATAATTTACATTGCTGGAATTCTTATAATTTGGTGATCATTTTGAATATAAACATCATATATTTTGCATTAAACATACAATTTTTAGATAAAAAAAATTTCTCTAGGTAACTATATTTATCTTTTGTGCAAAATATATGAACATTTATATTCAAAATATTCCTAGTCTTACAAGGAATCCAGCAATGTCAATTGTATTATCTAACTTTAGTTTTGAGGTATTATTTATTAAAATTTAATTGGTTTTCCCCAAGAATTTCTCTAGGAGGGAAGAGCCAGTGAGTGTAGTGTGAGAAGAGGGGAGGGAGTTGAGTCCATTATTTGAATGGACATACTATGACTATATTTCTCTATTTCTCAAAGTAATTATTGTGCATGTACCATCATAAAATTAAGATGTTATTTTTACTACAACATAGGTATGTGCCTTCAAAGTGGGTTTGGGGTCGGGCGGTTTCTATTGGAATTCATCCCTATGTTCTGTTGTTCATAGCAGCAGTTCACTTAGCGGGACCCTCTGGGTTCAATTGACCCAGAGTTAAATTGGGGTACAACATATATATATATATATATATATATATATATATATATATATATATATATATATATATATATATATATATATATATATATATATATATATATATATATATATATATATATATATAGCGGTCAGGTCAGAACATGGGATTAATTGAGACTGGCCCGGCGACAACTATGTTGTAGTAAAATTAATTAAAATATCCAATAATTAGGTTTTTAACACTTGCATTAGTAGAAAAGATGGCTGGGCACGGGATGGGGGGTTGGTTCGAAGAGCAGAGGGCAGATTATTGGCCTCACCTGTATCATATCACTATATCACCACAGGAAGCTTGCAGGGCCTCTTTAAAACCCTCAAAGGCCATATAAGTCCATATCCTCACTATAATTATCACTATATCACTGACTTGGGCGGCTGTGGTGGGTGGTGAAAAACTCAATGTTTTGATGACTGGGCGACCTTATGCGCATCGTGCATTGCCAGCACCAGCGTATATGATGAAAAATTCGCGTTAAGTGAAAAGTTCAGCTCTGCGAGGCACGTATATGATAAAAGCGTTAAGTGAACAAGTTAGGCGAGGAATAATACTGTATATATATATATTATATATATATATATATATATATATATATATATATATATATATATATATATATATATATATATATATATATATATATATATATATATATATATATATATATTATATATATATATATATATATATATATATATATATATATATATATATATATTATATATATATATATATATATATATATATATATATTATATATATATATATATATATATATATATATTATATATATATATATATATATATATATATATATATATATTATATATATATATATATATATATATATATATTTATATATATATATATATATATATATATATATATATATATATATCATGTAAATCCACAATGAAAGCGTGGATAAGATAAATCTTGATAAAATCTGCGAGAATGGAAACAGCAGTGCCTTGGCTTCATCTTTATTCAAGACATCTTCAGAGGTAACTGATGCTCTGAAGATGTTGATATATATATTTATATATATATATATATATATATATATATTTATATATATATATATATATATATATATATATATATATATATATATATATATATATATATATATATATATAATATTTTATAAATACATATATATATATATATAATATATATATATATATATATATATTATATATATATTATATATACATTTTATATATATATATATATATATATATATATATATGTATATATATATATATATATTATATATATTGTATGTATGTGTATATGTATGTGTATGAAAAAATATATGTATATATATATATATATATATATGTATATATATATGTAATATGTATGTATATATATATATGTATATATATATATATATATATATGTATATATATATATATATATATATATATATTTATATATGCATATATATATATATTATGTATATTATATATATATATATATATTTTTATCAATAATATGTATATATTAACATAATATATATATATGTTTTGT